CAGTCGATATTCCTCTATTGAGAATTCTCTGTTTAGCTCTGTACCCTATTTTTAATTGGATTACTTGATTTGTTGATATTTAACCTATTGAGTTCTTTATATATTCTGGATATTATCCCTCTGTCAGATATAGGGTTGGTGAAGATCCATTCCCAGTCTGTAGGCTGTCTTTTTGTTATGACAACAGTGTCCTTTGCTTTACAGAAGATGTTCAGGTTCATGAGGTCCTATTTATTGATTGTTGCTCTTAGAGCCTGTGATGATGGTGTTCTGTTCAGAAAGTTGTCTTCTGTGCCAAAGAGTTCAAGGCTCTTTCCCCACTTTTTCTTCTAAGATGTTTAGTGTGTCTGGTTTTATGTTGAGGTCTTTGATCCACTTAGACTTTAGTTTCGTGCAGGATGATAAGTTTTATATGTTTTCTAAATGCTGTTCTTTAGAGGGAAACTGTATTGACCTTAACAGAGGACTTCACCACATTACCATTATCTTAATATCTTGAAAATACGTTTCTTTTTTCAAAATCCAGTGTGTACACAGAAAAATTCTGAAATACAAAAAAAGTACACATGTTCCATCGTATATTTGTAATGCTGGTGAAGCAAAGATTTGGGGTAAACAACTATAGGGCAGTAATAAGCTTTCTGAGAGCTTCCTTTTTATGATGAAAGAGAATAATAAGCAACTGTTAGTCCCATCTTACTTGACAATTTCCCTTAGAAACCTTTAGAATCCTTTATAAGAGGGTAGCTATACTTTAGAAGTATATATATATGTATGTATATATGTGTGTGTGTGTGTGTGTGTGTGTGTGTGTGTAATGAGAGAGCATCTGCCTATACTTTGAAATTAAATTAGGAGTGAATGTATTAGAGTAACAAAACTTATAAAATGAATCTCTGTCTCTCTGAGCACCTGATATGCGGGTAGTTTAAACTGGGATGTGTTGTAAGTGTAAAGCATACCCTAGATTTAATTTTGAAGATTTTAAGATTTAATTCAAAGTGTGTGTATATATATATACTTATTTATGTATATATTTTTACTTTGAAATTCATGTGTGTGTGTGTGAATTTATTAGAATGACTAATAGGCTAAACCAAGGATGACTGCCTATGAATTAACACTCCAAGAATCCAGTAGTTCTTTAGTTCATGAGGCTGGTCTTCAGTATATACTGTAATCCAGAAATAGGTTCTAATACCCGTGAAGAAATGGATTTGTTATTGAGGAGAGAGCAAGCAGGAAAAGAGTAAGAGCTTCCTCCTTCCATGTACTTACAGAGGCTGCCAGCAGAATGTGTGCCCAGATTAAAGCTAGATCTTCCCACCTCAAAAAATCTAGATTAAAAGTGTATCTTCCCATCTGGAAACATCTGGATTAAAGTTGTATCTTCCCCCCTCAAAGGTCCAGATTAGAAGTGGACATTCCCATTTCATATTAAACAAAAATCTCTCATAGGTGTGCCTCTCCATTTGGGGTTTTTAGTTAATTCCAGATGCAGTCACATTAAGAGCCAAAAATAGCCACTACAGTGAGGAAAGAGCAAACATACTGCCCAAAGGAAAGCATGTATATAACTAAATCACCATATATATTTAAAGTTAAAAAGCGAGTTAACTAAAAATATACAGCAGTTCCTATGCCAAGTAGGATGCTTTCTATATAAAAAGTAAAAAATAAAACTATGATGTGGGAGCCATAGATGCGATTTTAAGTCTTTAGAGGCATGAGAGGTAACTCGGTAATAGACTGCCTGCCTAGCATGTGCAATATTATGATCTTTATTAGCATTACTTTAAAACCACTTAATTAAATATTATCTGGTAATCACAATAAAATGGAAAAAATAAGCAAGTACAAATAACTGAACCCATGTATCGAAAATATAATAAATCACCAATGCAAAAATTATTAATGATGTGCTTTACATTCTTACATTGAATTAAATCTTCAAATCTAGGGTGTGTTTTGCGCTTACAACACACCCCAGTTTAAACTAGCCACATATCAAGTGCTCAGTTGCCAAACATGGCTAAGGATTACTGATTGGAGAGTTCAGATCTTCACGTATATACCATTGCCTCTATCCGTGACCGAATACATTTGTGCCTCATCTGTTGTTCTTTCAGCTTTGTTCCCTGAGCTTGTAAGCTTCCACATGCTCTTACACTCCAGCAGTCAGTGAAGAACGTCCACCCTTGTTTATGATGGATTGAGAGAATAGTGCTTTCCAAGCCCTATTTACTGTATTAGTCAGGATTCTCCAAAAGGAACAAAACTGACTGTGTGTGTGTGTGTGTGTGTGTGTGTGTGTGTGTGTGTGTGTGCGCTCACTGTACAGACCAGAGATCCTCCTGCCTCTGCCTCCCTGAGTGCTAGGATAACCCGGCTGTGTGTGTGTGTTAAAGGGAGATTTATCAGGTTGAACTAAAGGATGTTATTAGGGTAATCTAACAATGTCGGTCTGACAGAGGAGAGGCCAAACTTGCCAGTAAGAGTGAGGGCAACAAGGGAGAAAAGTTCCTCCTTCCTTCCCTTTACCTGCGCTGTCCCCAGAAGGTGCTGCCCACACTTAGAGTGAATCTTGCAGCTTCAAATAATCTAATGAAAAAAAATCTCTCACAGAAGGTCCCAGTGGCTTGGGTTTTCCTGGATTCCAGATGCAATCAGGTTGACAATGTTAGCCATCACACTTACTAACTTACTTGTTTAATTAGTTGTATTTGTCGTGGTTCCTGGGACTGAATGCAGGGGAAAGCCTGCCTTTTGATTTCATGTGACTAACAAGGTCACGTGTCCTTGGCTCAGCAATACTCCACATGTAAATACGGCTAACCTATGTTCCTGAAAGTGGTGGGAAGGAAGTGACCTTCATTAATGTCCAAACATTTCGGTTGTCACAATTGTGAAAGAAGAATCTACTGGAGACAGCATTAAACATGGCACAGAACTATTCCACCCCCAACATACTCACAAATATTTAACTCAAAATAATACCACGATCGGGAGACTGCCCTATGGTTATAATTTTAAGCTTATAATCCTAACAAATAATTATTTTTAAAAACAAATTTTGTTTTTGTTTGTTTGTTGTTCTTTTTAGATTTATCAGAACCTACACAGTTGTGACTGGGTTCATCTTCTCTTTGGGTATGTAACAGGGACAAAGACCTGACTGTGATGGGAGTCCATGATGGGAGAACCATTCAGGTTCTGTAAATTTTGGCATCTAGACAGTGCTACCTGCCAAAACAAAAATAAAGACCTAATCCAGCAAAGTCTGTAGTTCTTGGAATGTCTTTAAATGTACTAACCTTGTTTTTTGTCTTCTGTACTTCTGGCTAACTGTTCTTGAGTTAACTGAAGTATGTCAACCCAGGACATGGGGGTTTTTTGTTTTGTTTTGTATTGTTTTTGTGCTTAAAATCCCATCCTGAGAAAGACTCAGGGTCACACTGGGATCCTGAACACCCAGTGTAGTAGCTGGCGGACTAATACTTTCTCTTGCCTGTGTACAGGCAATCTTTTCTGGTTGATAACCCACCACAGTGTATACAGACAGTGGATATCTAAACTGTATGTTTTAGTAAAATGCTATGAGTAACTAATAATATCCACAAAGGAGCTGATTATTTGTGAAATTTTTAAAGTCTATGTGTATTGGAAGAGCTAGGATAGATATCAAAGGTAAAATTTTAAATTAACACAGTTCTGAATTATTTTCATTTCTGTACGTTTTTGATGTTTTATAGTGAAAGTTATGTGTTTGAATTTACAGTAAGAATTTATTTTATTTTGTGTGTGTTTGCCAGTGCACAAAGGCCCTCAACTGCCCGTTCGTACAAGTGGAAGCCAGAGGAAGTCGTAGCATGTCCTCTCCTTTCACTTTCAATTGGTACACCCCAATTGAGGATCTGTCGCTGAACCTGGAGCTAGGCTGGCAGGCAGCAAGCCCCGGAGATCTGGGTCTCCACCTCCGCACAGAGCTGGGGTTACAGGGGCAGTGTGACCATCAACTTTTATACGGCTGCTAGGTATTTAGACTAAGATCCTCATGCTTGCCCAGCGAGCTGTTTTACCCACTGAGCCATCTCAACTGTAGGAATTATTTTTTATGATGTATCTTTTTACAGTGGAGAATTTCTCTAGTAAAGAGAACTCTTTTATGTTCAGATAATGTCTCTTTATGTCACCATTGCTGGCTTGGAACTCTCCGTGCAGACCTAGCTAATTTCGAACCTGTGTTGGGTCTCCTGTCTCCTGAGTCTCCCAGTTTTTTTCCAAAGAAGAATATTTCATCAGTGTTTCATCTTCAAATTTTAGTGTCAAGGGCGGGGTATGTGCACTGCTTGTCTAGGCAAGCGCAAGGTCCTGCCCTTGATACTCAGCATCGGAAAAAAATTATCGAGGAAAAATTTTATGTGTTTCTTAAGTCGAACTCTAATAGATTAGATTACTTCGCTTAAACTTAGTGAAAAAAAGTTTTAATAATTATTTTCCAAAAAAAAAAAAAAAAAAAGAAATTGCAATCTATACTCTTCACGTTATTAGCTGATATTCTAATACAAATCCGGGAAATGAAGCAAAGTGGTCTCCGCAGGGATTTCAGAAGCAACTTGCGGTACGTACCACCCTGGACCTCTGGGTGCCGCTGTCGTCCAGTCAGTCCGTGGCCATTCTGCCCCGGTTATCCCCGCGGACTTTCAACCCAACCGAGGAATGCACGGCCTCCCTGCGCTCTGCTGGGACCTCTTCGTTTCCGTCGCCCTCTCCTGCTTTCCGCTTAGAATGTCCTGGTCATCATCGTCAGGATGTTTGTGACTCGGAGTGAGGTGTTCGTTGTTTCTTCCTGGAAAGCTGGGAGCACTCCCAGGGAGTGAATTGGCGGCTCCACTGCTGCGTGGATAGGAAGTCGCCCACGGGGCAGGCGCAAAAAGCGCAGGAAGCACCGCCTCCCTTCCTGCAGTCTTTGTTCTGCTCCTACGACCACGAACCTACTGCGCAGCGTGATTCCAAAAGAAGGCCGAGGGTTTAAAAGCGGCGAATCTGAGGGTGAGTGCTGAGAACTGCTCCATCTAGCCAAGACAGCAGAGAACAACTTAAGAATGATCAGATCGACGCAGCAGTTCCACAAAAGAAATTACGGAAGCCACCAGAATTTGAAAATTAAATCTGCTGAAAATCATATAGACAGAATCATCCTGGACTTAAATGACAGCGGCTGTGTCACAGACTGATTTGGAAATTACGCATGCCATCTTAATTTCAGCATTTAAAGATGCAGATGCTGAAAATAACTCTGCAAATGTATCACATAACTCAGTAACCATCTCCTCCGACTCCAGAAACGGATAGCACTGCAGCAGTAAATATTGGGAACTGATACTGAAGAAACCCTGAGCCGGAGGAGCAAGCCACTGCTCAGGGATGGGCACCGGCGCAGAGCGTCTCTGGACAAAATAAAGCCTTAGAGCCTTGGATGTTGAGCCAAGCTGTGCACCTGAGCCATCCTGCAGAAGAGCCCATCGTCGCCTTGACCACATTCCAGGTAATCCTCGTTGTCATCCTTAAGGTAGAGTTCTCTAATTTCCACACAATCTCAAAACTCACACAGAATAGAATCTACTGCCTATGGATTGGCGAAATTCTTGATTTTGATTAAAAAAAAAAAAAGTAACCCCATGGCTAAAAGATTGGAGGCAGTCTAAAGACCCATTGTCAAAGTCCCAGTTGAAATGGAGGTGAAGAACTGCAGTGCAGCACAGGTCACTGTCAACCAGGTGTCCACAGATAAGAACTGCTATTGTATAAACAAACAGCAGAACTGAGATCTTTGCTTAAGTGGAAAGGTGAAAATGGTTGCAGAAGGAATGATCCCACTGACAGTTCACTTCCAAGAATTACTGTGTAACTGTCACCTACTGACAGATGGAATCCTAAATGGGAGCAAACTCTAAAGTACAATCTTGCCAGCAGTGCCTTCTCAGGGCTGAGCCATCTCTCTTCTCCAGCACAAGCATTTTCACCAACAAAAATGCTCCACTTGCAGGCAGTGATGGTGCAAGCCCATAACCTCAGCACCCAGGAGGCTGAGCAAGAAGATCCAGAGTTTAAGGCCAGCCTGGACTACGAAATGAAATGCTGTCAAAACAAAAAAAAAGTGGTCAAAATGGTTCTTCTTTTCAGACAGGCCATTGTATTTCTTTTCTCCTGTTATCTTTTATTGGTCCTGAGGTCTGAGCGTGAGAGCTTTCCTGTGTTAGGCAGGTGTTCCACACCGAGACACACCCTTATGTTTCTTTGAGACCGGCTCTTGCTGTGTAGCACAGGCTGGCCTCAAATTCATAATCCTTCAGTCTCTGCCTCCTGAATGCTGGATTAGCCATGTGTACCACTGTGCCTTGCGCCAAGGAATTGGGAACACTCATCCAAGCCTCCAGTGACTACTTCAGCACTTCTAAGCAGAGCCTGGGAGTCTTTTGTAATTCCTTTTTCTTCCTGACCTTGCCCCAAGAGGCTAATACTGCCCTATGTCACAAGTGCGCATTGCAGTAGTATTCCTGAAGACCACCTGTAAGTTGACTTTCAGCACGATAACCAGGGTTTGACTGGCTCAGTACATCAGGAGCTTCCCTGTGATGGTGAATGACTGACACAAACATACAAGGAGGATGCTTTGCCAAGAGCTTCAGCTAGGTAAGGCACTGCAGAGTGCACTATGTAGCCTCTCTCGCTGGTGACCAAAGTGAAAACCAACTTGAGGCATCAGAGATAACTGCCCTATCATATATTTCAGACCAGACAACATGGTTCTTCAGCCTAGGAGTTCGTACAGCTAAGCATGTCCAACACTCCTCCATGTCTCAGAGACCGAACCCACCAAGGCTTGTACGGTGGAAGTCACTACACAGTACCTGGTCTTCACCAGGAGTCTTTGGCAGCTGCTGCCTCAGTGTACCCAGCATATCACCGCCAGGCAGGTAGAGATTCAGTTTTGGCCTTGCCTCAGTTTCTGTACTCGTCATCCTCAAAGGGATGCCAACAATCATTCTGAGCCTGTAATACTGCTCTAGCTCCAACATTAGGAATGTCTGCCAGCCTAGTCTCTGAAGTATGGTTTTAGAGTTCCTCCCAACTTAAGAGCGATCCACCTGTTACTACAATCTATGCATATTTTATATTAGGGTCCACCTACTATAAAGTCTTAGTTTCTTCAGATTAATTCCAGAGATAGTCTTCAACTGGACATTGCCTGCAGTGCCAACAGTGAGGCCTTAACTGTTATGTTGGAGTCACATATATACATGTGAGTTTGAATATGCTCACCTAGGGCAGCCTTTTGTAACTTGCTCCTGCTTGTCTTTCACGGGTGGGGGTGGGAATCTCCACAGGTTTACTCATTATTTTTATGTGTGCTTTATTTTGCCTCTCCGGTTCACAGTTCCTTTTGGAAGAAGTTATCACGCATTAACATGTTCTGAAAAGTCTTACTTTTTTATTAAAGAGTTTCTTCCTTGCAATAATGAAGGAGGTTTATTGCCTCATTAAGTTACTACCCTTTAGGTCCTGGTACATGTCTTTGAGATTCTGAGGAACTATAGATTTAATTATGTAAGAACAGAAATCCTCCTTCCGAGAACAATTCATTTGGCAGTTAATCCCTTCCTTCCGTTTCCTATTTTCTGAACCTGTTGTAGGCATTCTATCTAGTTGGCTGCCAGCCTGTCTCAGTTGTTACTGAAATGCCAAACCGTAGAGTGCAAATATTTTTTTTGTCAGATGAAGAAAAATAAATTACTGTAACTTGAAATATTGTAGTTAGTAATCGTTTAATCGAGGAATAAATTAAGCATTTGCAAAGGCTTAGATTTTAAATATAACAATGGAAGATCAGCAAAAGCTATGGGACTTATAATTTAAGCAAAGACAATTTTGCTTTTTTAACCTAAGGCAACCAAGAGATAAATTTATTTAAGTTATGATTGCACAAGGAAATTCATGTTCCATTTAATCATTTACTAATGTAAGAATTCAACTTTTCCCTTTCTTTCTTTTTCTTTCTTTTTTCTTTCTATCGTTCTTTTTATCTGAAATAGTCTCCTGTAGCCAGGCTGACCTCAAACCCACTGTGTAAGCCAAGGATGGCTTAAACTTTCATATCTTCCTGACTCTAACTTCTTGCTAGGATTACAGGATTACAAACACGCACACCACCGTTGTTTCTGCTGTGCTCTGACTTGAACCCGGGGCTTTGTGCATGCTCAACTGTGATGTACAGATCAACTGAGCTATATCTCCAGCCCAAGCTCAGCCTTTGTGAAGTAAAGTACATAAGGAATAACAAATTTAACATATATTTACAAGAAAATATTTCTCCCTGGTGAAGAGATCTGTACTATATTTACATATCCAAATAATCTATAATAATGCTTCACAAAAAATACTATTTTATTACTGTAATTCCAATGTCATAATTCTGTACAGAAATATGTAAGTGAGCATTAGGCAGTGCACTGATAATTTACTTTTTGTAGTAAATTACTACAAAGCAAACAAAATTGTAAGTGTCCTGACCTTGGAGTGCACTTTTTTCCTAAGTGCAAGTATTTCAGAATTCAGCGGAGCATCACTGAGTGTCGTGCCACTGTGTTAAAGTGGGTTCAGGACACCTAGCATGTGATAAAATGACAGGTAATGTGTGTATTTATGAAATATATACTGACTTATTCATATGGTTTTAAATGATTTACTGTGTATTTATCATGACTAGAACAAAACCATTGACTCCCAAGAAATACCCTTCTCGTTAGGCTGCACCCCTAGCTGTGGGAAGGACTGGCTCCCAGTATCCTCTTGGCTGCTTTGTGGTTGAACTAATGATTCCAACTGTCTGGTGCTAACAGCTTTTTAAATTGACCTTTCTCAGATCTTCACATTGTTTTTTAATCTATTAAAAGTATTTTTCTTCTTGTACTTTCACCTCTCAGCCTTTTATTTCATTTTCAGATTACTATGTTTAACTTGATTTGCTATCAACCACCATTTTCCCGTCGGGTTTTTGTTGTTGGTGGTGGTGGTGGTGGTGGTTTTTGGTTTTGGTTTGTTTTGTTTTGTTTTTGAAGAAAGTAATCACCAACTTTCCACATCTGCCAGCATTTCACTCAGTGGACAAATGTATCTTTCACTGAATGTAATCCTCATTTAGTAATTCAGAATATGAGAAATTCTGCAAGTGTTTGCCATCACTGCAGCCAATCTGCAAGCTGAGAAAATCCTTGGGATAAAGCATGCTATTTCTCAGAATGACCTACCACCACAACACTTTTAGCAGAAGGAACAGTTCTTTTCTATGACCAACCAACCAAAACTTCAAAACTGGGCTGAGTTAGGAAGTTACTCCTCTAGATTCTCAAATTGTTCACGCTTTTCTTCAAACTGTAAGATTCAATTCACAGCCGGGCATGGCGGCACACGCCTGCAATCCCAGCACTCAGGGAGGCAGAGGCAGGCAGATCTCTGTGAGTTCGAAGCCAGCCTGGTCTACAAAGTGAGTCCAGGACAGCCAAGGCTATACAAAGAAACCCTGTCTCAAAAAAAAAAAAAAAAAGATTCAATTCACTCAGCGGGGCAAGGTGTCACACCCCTTTAATCTCAGCACTCAGGAGGAGAGGCAGGTGGAGCTCTGAGTTCCAGGCTATAGAGAGAAACCCTGTCTCAAAACCACACACACACACACACACAGAGAGAGAGAGAGAGAGAGAGAGAGATTGAGAGAGAGACGAAAAAAAAAGTCTCAATTCATTTGTCTGGATTTTCATCTGTTGACTGAGTCTTCAGCCTTCTTCACCGTTCTAAATATTCCAGTCTCCTCCAAGCTCTGAAGAGCTCTGAACTTCCCAAGAACTCTCTTCAGCCAGCATCCTGTAGCAAAACAGGCTATCTTTCCGCTCTTATAAGGTACTTCTAAGGAGCTGCTCTCCATTTTCTGCAAATACATGTTCTTTGTCTACTTTGACCTGGGTCGGACCACTAGCATTCTTGTTCTTCAAGACCAGATGTTGAGCTCCACAACTGCTCCAGAGAGCCCAGCAGACAGCCTAAAACAAACCAAGGTGGGCTCACCACTGCAGCTGCCACTCCATCACCCTACCAGTGAATGAAAGGAAAGCAGCATCTTCATCATCTTAGTTAAAAGATACTGCTCTTTAAGAAAGCCACCTTCTCTTGGAGAATATAATGCACAGTTGTAGAGCACCTATTATCCCTGTAGCCTTCCTGAAAATAAAGATGTGGCTCTTTTTCCATCCATGAAGAATAATATCACAACTTTCTCTCTCGAGTTTGAAGTCAAATTATATATCCATGTCATATTTTTTAATGAAATTACAGACCCTGATTTTATTCTATGCAAAATATATTACCTTTGGGAAAATTTTTAAGTCCTAACGTAGCTGCTTCGGAATAAAAGGGGGGATAAGGATATGATTTATCATGGTCTTCAAAATTCCAGGGTTCTGAAAATATTCAAACCACGATAGAAGGAAAACCGAGTGGCTCAGATTCAGAGACTCTTCCCTGAAGTCTGAAAGTTCACTTCCCCCACCCAATATTTTTTTCTTCCTCCAAATTGCTCTTTGTGGCCTGCAAAATTATCAAATAGTCAAGATATACAACAGAATAAATGGGAGGCTGATTTTCTTCTCTTTGTGATTAGAGAGCTTTTAGCTATTATTTCTTGAATAGCAAACAGGGAAAGCAAGTAATTTAAATTTGGACTACCGTGTTCTCCGGCACAGTGCAACATAGCAACATATTAAGGAAGTGAACATCGTTTCTTCTTTGCATATAGTGTGTACATACATACATGCATGCATATGTACATGCGCAAGTGCATATATACATACTCTTGTAAAAATAATTAACAATTTCCCTGACAGTAAACCAGGACTTAAGAAGAGACCCTCCGTTGTATTTCCAAGGAGCGCAGTAACTTGTTAGGGCTCTAGGCGCCGCTGTTCACCAACCTGGGGCATACATGCTCTATTCTGCTCTTCTCCCAATTAAAAAAAAAAAAAAAAAAAAAAAAGACATGTGACCCTGAGACTCTCCATCACACCAGGCTGAAAATGGCCGCCTGAGACTGCCCGGCGTATTTCTGGATTGCTCTCTGCTGTAATCTAAGGAAGACCCTGGAAGAGCGGAGAAACAATGGCGATTCTAGAGAAGCTAACCGGCTGGAGCCGGCTGATGCTGCTGTGCCTTTCCCTGGAGCTACTATTGGCAGCCGGGGCTGGCAACATCCGCTACTCTGTGTTAGAAGAAACCGACAAAGGCTCCTTCGTGGGCAGCATTGCCAAGGACCTGGGGCTGGAGCCCCGCGAGCTGGCGGGGCGCGGGGTCCGCATCGTCTCCAGAGGTAGGTCGCAGCTTTTCTCCCTGAACCCGCGAAGCGGCAGCTTGGTCACCGCGGGCAGGATCGACCGGGAGGAGCTGTGCGCCCAGAGCGCGCCCTGTCTAGTGAGCTTTAACATCCTTAAGGAGGATGAAATGAAGCTTTTCCCTATCGAAGTAGAGATAATTGATATTAATGACAACACTCCTCAATTCCAGTTAGAAGAGCTAGAATTAAAAATGAGTGAAATAACGACTCCAGGTACTAGAATCCCTCTGCCTCTTGGGCAAGACCTTGATGTGGGTATAAACTCACTTCAGAGTTACCAGCTAAGCGCCAACCCTCACTTCTTCCTGGATGTGCAACAGGGAGCTGAAGGATCACAACAGCCAGAGATGGTACTGCAGAGCCCTCTAGACAGAGAAAAAGATGCTATCCACTACCTGGTCCTCACTGCCTCTGATGGGGGCAACCCAGTACACTCAGGGACTCTGCAAATTCGCGTTCAGGTGGTAGATGTGAACGACAACCCACCAGCGTTTACGCAGGCAGAGTATCACGTAAGTGTCCCTGAGAATGTCCCCACAGGCACTCAGCTACTCAAGGTGAATGCCACTGACCCGGATGAGGGCGCTAATGGCAAAGTAACATACTCCTTTCACAACGTAGACCACAGTGTGGTCGGGAAATTTCGGTTGGATTCTTACACGGGAGAAATATCAAATAAAGAACCACTAGATTTTGAAGAATACAAAGTTTATCCGATGGAAATTCAAGCTCAGGATGGTGCTGGACTCATGGCCAGAGCTAAGGCACTGGTCACTGTTTTGGATGTTAATGATAATGCCCCAGAAATTGGAATCACCCCTGTCACTACCACAGTACCAGAAAACTTCCCTCCAGGGACCATAATTGCTCTTATCAGCGTGCATGATCAAGATGCGGATAACAATGGGCACACTACGTGTTCCATTACTGGAAACCTACCCTTTAAACTGGAAAAGTTAGTCGACAATTATTACCGTTTAGTAACAGAAAGAACACTGGACAGAGAACATAGCTCTGGGTACAACATCACAGTAACAGCAACAGATCAGGGAACCCCGCCCCTATCTGCCCAAGCTCACGTCTCACTGCTAGTGACAGATGTCAATGACAACCCTCCAGTTTTTGAACAGGACTCCTACTCTGTCTACATTCCTGAAAATAACCCCAGAGGGGCCTCCATCTTCTCAGTAAAGGCCCAGGATGCTGACCACAATGAGAATGCACTAGTGACTTACTCCCTAGTGGAAGACACTGTTCAGGGAGTACCTTTGTCTTCTTACTTCTCCATCAACTCTGACACTGGGGTTGTCTATGCATTGCAGTCCTTTGACTACGAGCAGTTTCAGGATTTGCAGCTAAGAGTGATGGCCCGTGATGGCGGGAACCCACAACTCAGCAGCAATGTATCTCTGAGTCTGTTCATGATAGATCAGAATGACAACGCTCCAGAGGTCCTGTACCCTGTCCTCCCTACTGATGGTTCCACTGGTGTGGAATTAGCACCTCGATCTGCCGAGCCCGGTTACCTGGTAACCAAGGTGGTGGCAGTGGACAAAGACTCAGGACAGAACGCCTGGCTGTCCTACCGCCTGCTCAAGGCCAGCGAGCCGGGGCTCTTTTCGGTGAGCCTGCACACGGGCGAGGTCCGCACTGCTAGGGCCTTCCTGGACAGAGATGCTCTGAAGCAGAGCCTGGTGTTGTCTGTGCAGGACCATGGCCAGCCCCCTCTGTCCACCACAGTCACACTCACCATAGCGGTGGCAGACAGCATCCCTGAAGTGCTGGCTGACCTGGGCAACACAGATAGCCCTGCTGACCCCCAGGATTCAGATCTCACACTGTACCTGGTGGTGGCAGTGGCTGTGGTCTCCTGCATCTTCCTGGCCTTTGTCATTGTGCTCTTGGTGCTCAAGCTGAGACACTGGTACTCCTCACGCTTGCTCCAGACTGCAACAAGAGGACTGACCAGCCTGCCTGCCTCCAACCTTGTAGATGTTGACGGGGTACATGCATTTCTCCAGACCTATTCCCGTGAGATCTCGCTCACCGCTGACTCTCGAAAAAGCCACCTGATTTTCCCGCAGCCCAACTACGCAGACACACTCATCAGCCAGGAGAGCTGCGAGAAAAAGGAATTTCTGTCAGCACCTCAGTCTCTGCTTGAAGATAAAGAGGAAATATTTTCTCAGGTAAACTTGCAATAACCTCATAAGCTATATCAATGGAAATAATCCTTGGCTGTATGTCTTTGCTTTCCCTATTTTCTATAAACAGTATGCCATTATACCCCTGGGGTGGTTGGGAGTGTTTCTTATTGTTTCAGGCCACTGGCGATGAAACCTAAGGGCGAGTGCATGCTAGGCGAGTGGTACCTTTCTGAGATAAGGTCTCGATAAGATACCTGGGCTGACCTTGAACTCACTTTGTAGCCCAGCGTAGTTTTAAGTTTATAATCATCCTGCCTCAGACTACTGGAGAACTGGGATCTCAGGCATGTGGGCATAACACAGGCGGCCTACCTCCTTTAGATTTCTGTTAGCATTCCAGGGCTGTGGAACATTACTAAAATCCCAGTACTCTGTCTCAAAAATGGGGGTTAGAGTGGAAGCTCTTACTTTGGGAATGCGCCTTTAGTGTGATACTGTGATAGTGAGGATGGGGAGTGTGTGTGAAGGTCTGTCTCCTTTGGGAAAGAGACCTGCATCAAAAACAAATTTGACTTCTATTTCTCACTTATGTCTGGCTAAATCATTCCATTGTTCTGAGTTGAGTATCCACTTATTCAGAAGTGATAGTGGTGAAAACCATCAAAAGTCATAATTTTACTTGTGTGAATATAACATAATATCTATACAAGTTGTGGTTTTATTGCTAAAGATCATAGCTCTATAATCTCTCACTATGAAATATTTTATGTGTGTTTAAAAATATCTCTTTAAGTAACTGATAAAATAGAGGATATTGGTCAGAAATTTTGTTATGCAGCTTGAGAAACAATTTTTTATGGTGAAAATGACAAAATCAAGACATATCCCATATTAGTGTGTATTAGTGCTTCATAACTGTATTGTGGGTGTCTGATGTGGGGGCACATGCTTTTAATCTCAGCACTCATGAAGCAGGCAGATCTCTGTGAGTTCAAGGCCAGCCTCATCTACATAGTGAGTTACAGGCCAACAGGTGTTACATAGTGAGGTCCCTTCTCAAAAAAAAAAAAAAAAGGAAGATAAATTCATTTCTTGATATAGACCTAATCTGTTCTGTCAAATTGAACAGATATATAATACAGGAAATCAGTAGAATAGTAAAGTACAAGTAAAATATAAATATCTAAAAAGGAGACCAGGAAGTAATGAGTTGGTCTAAAGTTGTTTAAACAGGGACTGAAGGCCAGGAATATAATACAGACAAACCTACTTCATTCTAGAGAACTGGCCTAGGATTGGCTTATTGATTGAAACCAATAATTGGCTTATTGATTGAAACCAATATAAGCATTGAGAACCATCAGCTGTATAAAGTCCAGGAGTTGCATGAAATCTTCTCTGCCAATTTCGGTGCTTATACTTTGTTACAAGCTAAAGACTAAGGGAGATGAATCCAGATGCAGGGAACGTAAGCCTTACCAGTGTGAGCTATTTTATCCAGATTAACACTGCCACACAGCCTTGAAGCACCATTTAAACACCTACTTGTTTCCTGGAACCTGAGCAATATTTCACTGTTTAGCAGTTGGACCGAAACTTGCTGCATAGGCCAAGCTGACATCTGACTTGTGATTTTCCTGTCTGAGTTTTATGCGTGTTGAAATTGCAGATATGCAATTGCCACAACCACATAAATAATTTCAGAACCAATAGGAGATAGGCGTGGTGGCACATGCTTATCTATAATCACAGTACTTAAGAAGCTGAGGCAAAAAAAAAAAAAAAAAAGAAGCTGAGGCAAGAGGATCAGGAGTTTGGGGGTCATTCTTAGCTATATATCCAATTTAAAACTATTATGGGCTACATGAGACCAGTTTTTTTTTTAAGTGGTGGAGAACTTAAAACTATCTTCTACTTAAAATAAATGTATAAGCCTAAATTTCAAAAAAAAAAAAAACATTGTCTTCCTGGAATTTATGATTTTTACAAATGAGAGATTCTGTCGGTGAGCTGTAGTTTCTGTTTGTTTCTTCTCCGGTGGCTTCCAAGGGAATTTCAACCATTCTGTATGTCTTCTGGATTTTTATTTTCTTCCGGGGTCCAACACTCTCAACTAATAAAGTTTTTCAGATCTGCATCTTCTTAGCTCTTATAATGTAAACACCAATTAATGGATTGTTTGTTTGTTTTTTTTAAATCTGTATTCTGTTGACAAGATTGGTTCTTAAATGTATACTGACATCATGAAACTAAAGATTCGTGTGCACAAATGCACGAAGAAAACAGTTGTAGTAGAACAGTAGTACAACAACCAAGTAATATTTAAGGCAACAAACACTAGTTGTAAATTCAAGAAACTAATTGGTTATAATTATTTTAAAAAAGAAAGTATTGTTAAACATGTAGAAAACTATGAGCTCCCATCACCTAAAAACACAGCTTTGAAAAAATAATACCCGATTTTAACATAATTCCCAAAGAAAACAAAGATCAAGCAGAAAGGTTCAAGAAGCTCTCAGTTGCCTGTGGCTCCAACTTCAGAGGATCTGATGGCCTCTTCTGGCCTCCATGGATACACACATACACAGAGAGAGAGAGAGAGAGAGAGAGAGAGAGAGAGAAATGTAAAAAATAATAAAAATAAATAGAAATGTGCAGAACAACCTACACAGTTTCTGAAATCCCTATCAAAACTCTAATAATGGGATTTGGAGCAGAAATGAAAAAGTTCATCTTAAAATTTATATAGAATTTCAAGGGACCCTTCTGAACAGATAAAACAGTCTTGGGGGGAATGTAAGTCTCATATTCATTAATTTTTTTAAAAAATTTACTATGAAGACACTATATGAAACCACAAATCAATAAAGGAAGAATAGAAGATAGAAGGAAGGCAAAAGAAAGGATTGGACAAGATGATTATTAATCAATGAATAGTAAGTTTACAACAGAGAAAACTACATATAATTAGAAATTTTCTAGAACATTACCAGTGATCAAAGTTAACAAAAACAGTAGTGGAACAAAGACACCAAGTGGCTTCTGAGAAAAATGCACTGAGAAGGAGATAATGTCATTCTTAGGTATTCCCACCAGAACTGCACAATCTGAACCTGATCAAGAGACACAGAATCTAACACACAACAGTGAGACTGTTTTTACAGTAGAACTGGCCAAACCTTCAAGTCCAGACTCATGAAATGGAAAGCCTGGTGAACTGTTCAATTTCTACACACTGCAGAAACCTTGTGAAGTACCACATATGATCCTGGGCTGGATCCTAGGTCCTGAAAATATTTTAGTTTACTATAAAAAGACATTGTGGCAAACTGGAACATTATTACTACGAGGTATAGGCTAAATAATGAAGCTACAGCAATGCCAAGTTGATTTTGTACTTTGGTAATGAAGAAATCTAAGAAAAATAAAGAGACATCATGCCTGCAACTTACATGGAATCAATGGGGACATGAAACTAAAATGTTAACATTTGGGATAATGTGGGCACAGAATACAGTGAACTTTATATATGAAAGTGTATAAGTCCAACAACATTAACCTACATCTTCATCACGAACTGAAAATATTTGGAAAACTAACATATTTCTTGAACATGTATATCAACTATTTACCTTGTCTTAGACAGCCATGTATAACTGGAAGATGACAGACTATACAGAAGAGTGTACACAGGCCATTTGCAAAGTCTACATCATTTTACATAAGGGACTCCAGCATCCTCAGGTGTAGAACCCAGCCCCCACAGCTACCAAAGAATTGCTACATATGGCATTTGTTTGTACTATTTTTGCAGCTATTCTGAAATTCTTCAAGATAAAAGTCTAAACATTGATTGTATTTAAATATGGTAAGATGTTAAAATTAAATAAAGCCTACTGGTATGTACACAGAGTTTAGTTGTATTACTTTCTATAGTGGTCTGTATGCTTGAAGCATTTCAAATTGTATTTTTAAATCCATGCATTCCTCATAAGTATATGTATATAGGTATGCATATATACACCAAACAGGAGTAAGAAGACATCCATGGCATCATCTTTTACCAGCTTAGGAGACACTAAATATACAAGGGGATGAGCGCTCAGCCATCTGAAACAACTTTGAATGGCCGATTCCTAACGTAAAGAGCCCAGTCTACCGGAACTTTGGTCAATATAGCCACCCTCAATCTCCATAATGTTCCTTGCTATATCCCAACTCCAAGCATTTTGTTCTGAGATTCTACAGTGAAATTTCAGCTCTAACCTATCCTAACCATCAGGATTCAAAGGAAGTGGCATTCATGAAAGGTCTTTTTTGACCTCCAGACATAAGGTGGGTCCCCTTCCTCTAAATGTCCCCAGGGCTTAGTGTTTTTCACCACTGTATTTTCATCACTTAATTGTGAATTCACAAATTCGACATCATAACTCCTTCTTTATATCCTCTTTACCTTCCCACATCTTCCCCACCCTAAAAGCTTCTGGGAACTGACTTCCAACTGGTAGACCAGGAGGAGCTGTGTGCCCAGACACTCGTGCCTGATGATTCAATCAGACCCTGTGCTGTTAAGTATCTGCTAATCAACAATTTAAATATCAAGTGTTGGAGTTGAATGCTATTCGACCAAACACAAAAATTCAAAAACTTGCCTTCTTAGAAAATCTAGCTAATGTTTTAAATTTTATCTTTTTGTCTAAGCATAGGTTAAAAAAAAAAAAAGGAGATGAAACAAGATGTAACACTGAAGTAACAAGGCCAATAGCACTTGTTTGCGCCTTCAACATTCTACAATACTTTCGTAGCAAGAACTGTCAGGTTAGTATGTCTACACTGTCCTTATTAGTTTTGAAAAACTCCCTACCTCTGACTATTTACTTCTACTGTAAATAATTTACTTCTACTGTAAATAATACTGTATATTAAAGAATCGTTCACGAGAGCAACTTAAAAGCCACAGGCAAACAGGGTTTGTCTGCGCGAGTGCAGAAACTGGCTAGGCCTCTGAGCGTCGCTGTTGACCACCTAAGGAGGAAAAGGCAGCCAACCAATCCCACTGAAGGGCTGGCACAGCACAAAAGGGCTGGCGGTTTGTCCGCAGCTTCCGGTCCGAGAGAACTTAAGGAAATTCATTCCTGCCGCCGCCCGATGGTTCTCTCTCCTGGGTGACCTGGGACCGGTAAATACCGGTCGTCTCAAACCCTGGGGGATAAGGACAGGACTCCCTCACGGTGCTGGAAGCTGGTTCGGAGCAGACTCGGCTGCAGAAGGAATGGCGACGCTGCAAAAGCTCCCCCAGTGCAGAATGCTAGTCCTGCTGTGCGCCCTTTGGGCCGCCTTTTGGGAGGCCAGAGCTGGACAGATCCGCTACTCCGTGCCAGAAGAGATCGACAAAGGCTCCTTCGTGGGCAGCATCGCCAAGGACCTGGGACTGGAGCCCCAGGCTCTGGCAGAACGAGGGGTCCGCATCGTCTCCAGAGGTAGGTCGCAGCTCTTTGCTCTGAACCCGCGAAGCGGCAGCTTGGTCACCGCAGGCAGAATAGACCGGGAAGAGCTGTGCGCTCAGAGCGCGCCCTGTCTGGTGAACTTTAACCTTTTACTGGAAGATAAATTAACTATTTATTCCGTAGAGGTGGAGGTAACAGATGTTAATGACAATGCCCCTCGCTTTGGAGTAGAGGAGCCGGAACTAAAAATCAGTGAAACGACTACACCAGGATTCCGGATTCCTCTTAAGAATGCGCATGATGCAGACGTTGGAGAGAACACCCTCAAGAAGTATGAACTCAACTCAAATGACCACTTCTCTCTGGACGTGCGAACTGGGGCCGATGGCAACAAGTACCCAGAGCTGGTGCTGGAGCGTGCCTTGGACCGCGAGGAAGAGGCTGTTCACCATCTGGTTCTAGTAGCCTCGGACGGGGGCAATCCAGTGCGATCTGGCACCTGCCGCATCCGTGTGAAGGTCCTGGATGCAAATGATAACGCCCCTGTTTTTACACAGCCCGAGTACCGAGTGAGCGTTCCTGAGAATATGCCCATAGGTACTCAGATACTCACAGTGACGGCCACAGACCCAGATGAAGGATACAATGCTCAAGTGACTTATTTTCAGGAGCAAGCCCCTGGAGAAAACGCAGACGCATTTGAGCTAAAGTCAACATCTGGAGAGATAACAATCACAAAAAGTCTGGACTATGAGAAAGCTAAGTTCCATGAAATCGATATCGAAGCTCAGGATGGCCCTGGCCTTCTGACGAGGACGAAAGTTCTCGTCACCGTCCTAGATGTTAATGACAATGCCCCGGAATTTGACATGACGTCTGCCACTGCGCCTGTGCCTGAAGACTCACCTCCGGGAACCGTGATCGCACTTTTCAACGTGCACGATAGGGACTCTGGGCAGAATGCCGCTGTCACGTGTTCACTTCCTGAGATGCTGCCTTTCAAGTTAGAAAGGTCAGTGGACACCTACTACCGCCTGGTTACAACCAGGGCCCTTGACAGGGAACAGTCCTCCTTTTACAACATCACGCTAAGTGCTAAAGACAAAGGGAACCCATCTCTGTCCACGGATGCGCACCTCTTCCTGCAGGTGGCAGATATCAACGACAACCCACCCTCCTTCCCCCGGCGATCCTATTCTGCCTACCTTCCTGAAAACAACCCCAGAGGCACCTCCATCTTTTCCGTGCTGGCCTATGACCCTGACAGTAATGAGAATGCCCGTGTAACCTACTCTTTAGCTGACGATACCTTCCAAGGAGCGCCCCTGTCCTCCTACGTCTCCATCAACTCTGACACCGGAGTCCTCTATGCTCTCCGCTCCTTTGACTATGAGCAGTTCCAAGACTTACAGCTGTGGGTGATGGCAGTGGACAGCGGGAACCCTCCACTGAGTAGCAATGTGTCATTGAGCCTGTTCTTGGTGGACCAGAATGACAACATGCCTGAGATCCTTTACCCTGCCCTCCCCACAGACGGGTCCACTGGTGTGGAATTAGCACCCCGCTCTGCAGACCCTGGGTACCTGGTGACCAAGGTGGTGGCGGTGGACAAAGACTCAGGACAGAACGCCTGGCTATCCTACCGCCTGCTCAAGGCCAGCGAGCCGGGGCTCTTTTTAGTGGGGCTGCACACAGGTGAGGTGCGCACGGCTAGGGCCTTCCTGGACAGAGATGCTCTGAAGCAGAACCTGGTGGTGTCTGTGCAGGACCACGGCCAGCCCCCTCTCTCGGCCACAGTCACCCTCACCATAGCAGTGGCAGACAGCATCCCTGAAGTGCTGGCTGACCTGGGCAGCATCAGGACACCTGCCAACTCTGATGATTCCGAACTCACACTGTACCTGGTGGTGGCAGTGGCTGTGGTCTCCTGTGTCTTCCTTGCCTTTGTCATTGTGCTGCTGGCTCTCAGGCTGAGGCGTTGGCATATGTCTCGAATGCTTCAGGCTTCAAGAGATGGGTTAGGGGGCATCCCTGCCTCGCACTTCGTGGGAGTGGACGGGGTACGTGCTTTCCTGCAGACCTATTCCCATGAAGTCTCACTCACCGCAGACTCGGGGAAAAGCCACATCATCTTCCCTCAACCAAACTATGCAGACACTCTCATCAGCCAAGAGAGCTGTGAAAAAAACGATTTTCTTTCAGCACCCCAATCTCTACTTGACGATAAACGAGAAGAAACTGCCCAGGTAAATAATTTTTTTTGAAATATGCTCGTGTTGTTTTGCTAAGTGTACCTGTTTGTTTAGTTGCACCGGGTGTTTAATGTATGTATTTTACTCCTGTGTTTCCTTGAGGATGAACTGAAGTTTAGGTGAACCCAGGTGAACTATTCCTAGGCGGTTTTAACTGCTCATGGGCTATAATGGAAGTTTAAATCATGGAATGAATGAAAATCAAGGCTTGGTAGTTGATGGTAAATTCAGCTCATCAAAAGATTACTGTTAGAAACTGGGTTGGTTTCTTGTTCTTCTATTTCTGAGACAAATCCTTGTATGTACTTGCATCAGTGATTCTTTTTTAAAAACAGAAAGATTGGAGCTGGCGATCAGTGGTAGTGTACCTACCTACCATGCACTTGGCCTTGAGATGGGTTCCCAGCACTTCAATGTGTGTATTATACTCTGTGTGTGCTATCTGCAATGTATGCATTAGATTTTACATTAATTGAAGACTTCCCTCTTTAAAATGTAAGGCCTGTTCTGTATTTTAATCTGTTTATGAATTATTAAACACCTTGGTTTATTCTTTCTCACTTAATAGTTAATAGTTCTTCAGTTTTTCGGAAAGCTTCTTATTTTTCTTAATTTACACTCCAATACATGTTTAAATGAGGACATTTTCTCTGGGCATGGTAGCACACACCTTTAACCACTGTTCTTCAGAGGAAGAGGCAGGCAGATTTCTGTGAGTTCTAAGCCAGCCTGATCTACATGGCAAGCTCCAGGCCAGCCAAGGCTACATAGTGAGACCCTGTCTCAAAGACAAAAAAAAAAAGTTTTAGAAATAGACTCTCTTTTTCAGTGTCAGGACTCAAACCCAGGGCCTTGTATACTATAGTGGACACTGTCACTGACTACATCTCAAGACCGTATATTTTTGTGTGTAAGGGCTGTACATTGAAACCGAGACCTCATTTCTCACATGCTTCGCCACCGATATGTGCCTCTGACCCCAGGACGTGCGTTCTTACAGAGTTTCAGCATGCCATGGTGTCTCTGCTTATTTGCAAACAGTCTCTGGAAGTAACCCGTGCTCCTTGGGGGCTTATTGTGCACTCAATAACAATTGGTAAAGTAACAGTGACACGTTTCTCTTCACGGAAACTTTGCTTTTCTCACATCCTCATATGCTTTGCTCACAGAAAAAATAGAAAGGATTCAGAGACTGTATCGTACAATTCCTCCTGCGTTGGTTTTAGAGTGTTGACCATATACTTAATAACAATGGGCATGCTAATAGTAAGAATCAGTTTGTTGTTATTTGGAAATAATCGTGTACTACTTGTACTAGTTAGTTCACATCTCCTCTGGTGCTTGGGGTTCTTCTCACAGCTAAGAGTATCTGATAGAAAGTTTGGGGCAAGTGTATCCAATGTGTTTGTTAGTATGGCATATGCCTCTATGAGACAAAGTCACAGTTCACTTTGGAACCGTGTGTCACACTGTCTCTATTTGTTGGTAGATAATAAACTATGAACAAAAGAAATTTTGTTCCTTTTAAGGAATAAACCCTGTATGGATAAATAATAGTAAGTGCCTTATGGATTCATAAGCAGTGTATCATGACTGAAACGACATTTTTAAAATTTTATTTCTATTTGTTTTGTTTTGAGACTGGGTCTCGTTATGTAACCCCAGCTGACCTGTAACTCACTTTGTAGACCCTTGTTTGACCTCACACTCAAAAACTATCTGCCTGCCTGTGCCTCCCGAATGCTGGCTAAAGGCCGGCACCACCACACCTGCCATTTCTGTTTCTGGACTTTCAGAGGGAAATACACAGGAAAAGAGACTCTGGACATTTTTTAACAAGTGTATCTTTACAGTGTCTGCTGTGGTTACTTAAAAAGACATCCTCACACGCCTCTGCACTGGAGCAAGTTGAACGTCTTCAGTAGCCTGAGGTCTGTAATTTCTCTCACACCCAAGCCTTTGCCCTAGTCTACTCTCCTCCTAATTCTAAATAAGGCATTTGCAAAACTCCACAACGAGGTTGGAGCCCATCCCATCCTCCCTGGCTTCTCCTGGTGTGTTTGTTATTTCAATGCACCGTAAGCCCTGAGTGACTTTCCCCCCTCATAAGCTCTGCGACAGAATTGGTTGTGTCTATATTTTCCACATTAAATCTCGAGATAAACAAATTGTCTGACACCCATCGTGTGTTTATTTTTAAAAAGCCAGTTAAGTGAAAAAATATTAAAACAATATGTGAGGATGTCAAAGACAAACTTCACAAATCATAATCCACAAATATGGCTGATGTTTCTGTGTACGGTGTCCAACTGAACCTTGGGGAACGGTAATTATGCTTGAAGAAATGTTGGTGGCGTTAACGTTAGAGTGTGGCATCCCAAAGAAAATAGCTTGACGCCTTTAATAAATGTCAGTTTGGTTATGTGAAATAGGTTCTAGTCATTTTGTCAGTCCTAGTTCCCTTGCCTTGAAGCTGGGAAGGAAGGGTAACGGGGTTCCCCTAAGAGTGTGCAGTGAACGATTAGGCCTCTGGGTGTCGCTGTTGACCAGGCAAGAAGAAAAGGCGCCGCTGCAGCGGTGTCCACCATTTCCCTGCAGCAAAGAAAAGCCAAGAACGGTCTGAGAAGACAGAAGCGGCTACCAAGCTCTCCACACAGTCGGCCAACTCTGTGGTGTGTGAATTGAGTCCACGAGAGATTTA